AAACCTCAAACATCAAATATATTAAAATAGTTAATATACTTATAAACAATTCTATACAACTAAATATTAGTAGGATAATTAGCATATATTTATATTTAAAGTCCAATTATAATAAAATAATTAAAAAATATTAAATTAAAAACTAAAAACCTCAGAGTATCTTGATATAGAACATAAAAAAAAGAAAATTGTTGAACCATTTGTTTATAAATATTTTAAAATAACGTTTTATCAACAGCATCATTACATGAATACATGATACATAGTTGAGGATATAGGTGATACGCGTAAGACTTTCGAGTGGTATGTGCGATACTAATAGTATCCAAATACATTTATCTTGTATTAAATGTGAAGAATTTGTCGAAATTTCATATGACACAGGTTTTAGGATGTAATCTACGCAGAAAAACACATTTAAATTCGATACAAAACTCAGATAACCGTGAGCTATCCAAGAGTGAAGAGAAAAGTATTCTGACATAATACATTCGTTCTTATTTCACACGATAAAAACAACTGTCAGCTTAGCATATGTTGTGTACAAATAAATAAATGACTGTCGCAATTCATCCAACAATGGATTTCCCCAAGAATCGTACATTCCTTTTTTTAATAAATGTTAATATGTATTTAATTTTATAAATAAATCGGTACGCTAACAAAAAATGATTAAAGAAAAGTTAATAAGTTTTTGTAAGCTATATTACCATCAAAATGTGTATTTTAAAAAAAAAACTTTAAAAATGTCAAAACAATCGTTAAAAAGTGTATAAACGTACAGTACCTTAGTACCTAATATAAATGTCTTGCTAGTGGACCATTATTAATAACTCTAAAGTTAAATTAAAGATAGGAATTTTGCAAGTAATCAAACTAATAAAATATACATTTAAATATGTTTTTTCTAAAATTTAGGTGGTATCTAAAAGGTTTGCTTAGTATTTTTTTTATTTTTTACATAATAGGTCCAACATGCAACTAATCCTTTGGTTGAATATTCCCTCGAGTTCTATGGAAATGTTCAATTTAATGCGGATAAAGGGATATGGTGGTAAGGGTAAAACGATGGTCAGAATGAAATCAATAGTTTATTTCCACTTATGCAATATATGTGAATGTGCAAAATTGATCTTTTTTTAGTAATAAAAAAAAAGTATATTTCATCCGAACAATAGATGAGTATTATTAATGAATTTAACTGTCGATTTGACAACAAACCAATTCCGTCCATTTATTCCATCATTCAATTATTCTATTTGAACTAAAAACTGACCATTAAACATTAATTCAAATAGAAGTTGTCAAAAGACAAATGACAAAGTGTTCAACCGATGGGTGAACATTTGATTAAATTTTAACGAAGAGCGTCGTGTAGGTACAGTACCTATAGTGATTTCAATTTTCAAGAACTATACTTTTTTTTGTAATCTATCTAACATAACTTTAAACGAAATGTTATTAGTTATTACTTATTACTAATAAGTCGTAATATACTAAATAATCGATTAAAATAGTTTTTTGATAAAATGAATTTAATTTTATACATATCCTGAGTCAATCCCTCTGTAGACAGGCCACAAGGGCAACTGAATATATTCGGTTGCTAAACGATATGGACGGCCGTTAGACAATGCTACAGTCATCGATACACACTATTGGAACGCCATGGTTATAAGTTTATAACGCCCTCAAGTATATAAATCCGCCAACAGAAAAAAAATATTGCAAATCAATCACCTATATATGGCTTATAATAATTCTTTGCCAATATTACCACGAATGAATAATTAATTACAGGTAGGTTTTTAATATAAAGTACCAATTAAATTTTGGTTCTCATCGATAGAAAGTAATACTATATAGCTTATTTTAAAATATAAGTCATAACACACTCAAAACGTGTTCACTAAAATCTTGTGTTTTAATAAAACCTGATAACAAACTTGAACCACAAAGACCTTATTACTATGAAAAAGAAATTATAACGATTCTCCAATGCTTTTTTAGCATATTCAATGTACATTATGAACTACATCTAGCTACTTATATTTCATAAACATATATTTTTAACATCACACTAGACGTTTTAATTTAATAACTTTATTTTGTTTGCTAACTGCCAAACAAGTAAGTTTTGTTCCTCCTTGAACAAACTACATAAAAACAACTTAAGTCTTAAATTTAAACTTTCTGTATGATTTTGAATAAAACAATTTATTTTCGTTTGATAATAAGTAAATTCTTTAGGATTCCATTCATAAACATAATATGCAATAAATAATATGATGCTAAAGATTTTAAATATTTCAAATATATAATATATTACAATACACGAACATACATTACTACAGATTATATTTGGCACAATAATGTCTACAATGTTATTCAATTTTAATCAAAATATTTAGTTTAATTTATAATATTTTTAACGGATTGCAAACATAATCATTTTTTACCGGTTATCCCGCTTGAATTGTTTAGTGTGAATAAAATTCCTTTCAAGAAAAATATACAACATCTATTAAACAAAGGAAAACATGAAATGTTTTTTGTTGAAAATTAAAGCGACATGGAAAAACAGAAGTATACGTATACGTATTGTGCAAAATCGGCGCCGTCTAGTCCGATAGGATTTTTTACTAAACAAATTGCCAAATACAAAGTTTTTTTCCTCGTAGTGTATTTCCCTCTGAAATGTGAAAGATGGGTATGTAAAGTAACTCAGATTAATAGCAGTTGGTTGTTACTTTTACGTTGTACAGCCCATGATAAACAACCCGGTCGATCGTTTCCGAAGAGTGGTGTGTGGTATGGTTATTTGAATTGAGAGATTGGATAAACCTTTGTTCATAAATCTCTGAATCTCGTAATGGCCATGCGCATATATTGTACATTGTATATTGTATATTGTATATAATACGACTATACCTACGAGTAGAACCTATTTACCTTTATAAACTGTATAAAATGTACGAGTACAATTATGTAAATTTAAAAAAAGAACATTTAGTTAATGATAAGGTCTTTGATAAGATTGTGTTCGTTGATTTTTGAGTGAACTAATAAGTACTGGATTTATAACTAATATTATTAATTCATTCGAATACATGCCCTATATATATATAGCTATATTATATTATAAATAGCTATATTCATCAATTATCTCAAATATTTTATTTATACTACACACACTTAACTACTTAAGAATCATGAGCTAAAATATAATTGAATCAAATTTTAAAAATTATTCAATAATAAAAACAAAATAATTAAGGTAAATAGAATATAGATAGTTTAGTGGCATGAGAAATTTTCGGTTTTTTTTTGTTGTTGGATTTCTATACATAATTTTTGACTTGGTTAAAAAACTTGAAAATTTATAACAAAGTTATTCATGAGATGTTATAAGTGTGAATAAGAAAAATAATTGGAGCAATTTATGAGCATAAAAAATTCAAATTTTTGGCAAAATTCATCAAAATCACAAACATTTACAAATTATTTTGTTATTAAAAATGTATAAAATGTTTAATTTTTATAGCTAAGGTTTAAAAACTTAATAAATACAAGATTACTTGTAAGTATTTTATAATGAAACCAAAGAACCTAAATAAAAAATTACGACTTTTTGTAGACGTTGTAAGTTTGGATGAAAGTAGATATTTAAACGAAGAATAGCTATTCTAGTTACTTGTTGTAATTTAAAAATATTTTTCGAAGGTACTTACAACTTTTAAAGCATATTATTATATTTGATACACGCAATGAAATTTTAAAATGCAATGTTTTAAGCAAAAATAAATTCGATCCCCTATATTACTAATAGTAAAATAAATTACTTTAATTGCAACATTAAAATTATATTATATAATATGTTGAGTAAAATAGGCTCCGAATCGTTTTTCGTATGTAATGATTTTTATTGAATTGTAATTTAACACATCTGTTGCAATGACCCACACGACAATAAATGTATAGCAGAGAGGTACCCCACTCACCCATCTTTTTAAATGTACATTTATTAAAAATATTACCACACAAATTAGTTGAGAATATTATGAATTATTATTTCATGCTGAAACGTATATATTATATAGGTAATATTAGCAAATCATAGCTATTCTAGTTGTTTAAAGTTTTTCCATTCCCATCATCAATCAGCGTCGATTATAGTATAGACAATATATTTTCATAAAATACCATCAGCGTAAGTAATATGCTAATCCAAAATCTAAGCACTAATGAGAATATAACTACCAAACAATATTGTTCCGCATAAAGGAACTCTTCGTTACTATACGAAATTTAAAAATTCGTCATAACCAGGCTAAAGGGGAAAAACGTTTCGGGGGTGAGAAATCGCATTAAGCTTATGCAAACGAATATTGGAACACAACTTGTTTTTCAAAAATTAAACCTCGAACCGTTGAAATAACTTTTGATACATGACCTAAACTTTTGACTGAATATTGCTTTCATGGAAACGCGCGCATTATTTTTACTCTGGTAACTACTCATCACTTAACCATAATACATATATAGCTGTTTTGTTAAGACTGGTGATTCCTTCCCTATTTAATATTTATCATCTACCCGAAGTCAGTATAATTACTATTGCTGTGCATCATGACCCAGCCATTATACTGTATGGTGGTCATAAACAGGATCTAATGGAGAGAAAAGGGGCACACAGTTATAAATTATTTTCCTAATACGGACTACCCTACTAAGATCCAATGATTAATGGCCTCGAAAACATGGAAGTAGGCCTATCTATAACATATTAAAACAACCGACCCCATTCATTTTTCATTGGTATTAAATTTCGTTTCGCCAAAAATGACGTTTAAACTAAACGTGTAAATGAATAAAAACACATAGGTATTAGGGTACACTTACCTTATTAGCTTGGCATCACCCTACAATTTATTGTGATCGTGAATATCACTATACAAGTTAAAAATATCAATAAATTAAATTGTTCGTGTAAAGGATACATTCGTAAAGATCCGTTTTTGGTGCCAATGGCTAACAACCGTTGTATGGGGTCAAATGCAAGAGCAGTCGGCTGGTACGGAAAACCATGACGAAACGTCTGTAAAAAAACAAAACAAAAAAAATATTATAATTAATGTTGTATTTTCATTCTTTTTTTTTTTTTGGTCAAAATAATATAATTTTGTTTTATTGTATGAGCATGCTACGTAAAATTAACGAATCAAGCTCGTTAACTGAAAATAAACTTTAAAGCACCAAGTTAACCTAACGTTTGGGAATTAATATATTGTTCTATTTGTCTGATGAATATCATATCAAACGTTATATTCCATTCATCAAGAACATGGTTAAAATTATATTATATTAATACTTATATTATTATATGTCACATAATACATAATGCGTTTATATATTTACTAATTATTTTTTTAAATTATTTTTTTATTTCTTTATTTCTTTTATTGGGTACCCAAGTTCCATTAATATTTTCTAAGATGAAGAGGTAGACTAGGTATGGTAGGTTTTTATTCTAGTTTTTCTGGTGATTTCTTTTTTCATAAATATGATGTATCGTATAAATAACTTAAAGTTTAAAAAAGAAATATCTTCTAAAGTATTGTGACTCGATACCATAAATTTAATATACACACCATAAATTTGTTAAAACAACTGTTAAAAAACTCTTATATGAACATACAACCGAGTAAAGTGTGAATTCATAATTGACTAAAGCCAATTCTGAGTAAATTTAATTAAAAACTAAAAACGTTATCATCAAATAAACTATATTATAAAATTATACTTTCCTAAAAAAAAAATGCTAGAAGATTTATCTATTTTCCGGTGTAACTGTAAAAGTAGGTATCTATGTAAAAAGGTTAATTGTTTTTCATAATAGTATATATAGGTACTATAGTCCACAGTAGAATATTTATTACATTAATCACATACTTTATCGAATACAAAACATAACAAATATCACATTTTAAAGAGTCATTTTACACATTAACTAATTCAATCGATTAATGTATGATTAAAACTTAATAATTAATTTTAAAATATTTATTTATTGCTTATTCTGATGTCACTGTAGTTTTAGCAATCATAATAATTATGATTACAATCAATTACTGACAAAATAAAAAAGGATTAAAATTAACATTAGGCATTGTTCGAAGGCTTGTTTATTTACATATTATTTATTACACCACAGTCCATCCAGTATATGTATATATATACAGCACTGTGTCCGAACTACAGACTCCTGCAGTAGACGAGTGCTACAAGTTATTATAACTAATCATTCGTATTATATTATACCGAACAAATTAAATATTTCCAGGTTTAATAATATGTTGTAACGGTGAAAAGCATCTGTCATGACCTGAGCACAGTACACATGCATCGAAAGTTTGAAAAAATAAATAAAATAGGTTCGATTACTATGTAGTATATACATGAGGTGGCTGACCGGTGGTTTGGGTACAAAGTGGAGGCAATGAAATAAACGAGACACTTTAGTTACAAAGTCAATTTAAGAGCCCCGTATCCATGGAAAATAAAAACGGACAATTCAAACACTTACACAGCCATATTATATAGATGCAACGCCCGCGTGCACGAGAGATTCTTTGGCACTTGTCATATAATACCTTATCGCCAGCGACATATTGGCTATATATATATATATATATATATTTGTATAGGCGAGTCGTCTGTCGTAATCCCGACGAGATTGGAGGGTGTATCTATATACATACACGCACTGCAAAGCAATTAAGAGTCAAGTCCATTTTCTCCCACGAAATTAACGCCATGCGTGTACCTATATGTCTATATATATATGTGTGTATTATACGTACGTAATACGCGTACACACTGGCCATTTCACAGTTTCACACACGCATCAAGTATTATTGCCATTTTTCAAATCGTATAATATATATATATCGACCTCCGTCAAGACGACGAGATAATAATATAATCCTATGGACGCAGTTTTTACGACCCATTAATAACTTTTCTGGAAAAACGCCGATATCGCGATAGTGAGAGTGCAGGGGGGGCGCTACAGCTACGCAGGAACCGTATTCGGAAAAGTGGGCCGGTCGCTTTATCAGCGTTTACGAGAAATCGACATGAAAAGTGCACACGCAGTGCAATATAATAATATATTACTTGCGCCGTTTATTATACATTATCTATAGGTATATATTTACTGTATACACCCATATTACGCGTCGAGCTCGTGACAGATTCTATAATAACTGCAGGGGAATAGTAAAAGATCTAAAATAATTCTGCTTTGACTTTCCAAATTGATTTTTGACGAATGAATGATGCATAATATTATACGTAATATGCTATAAATATGCGACGCCAAACGTATAAAATATGAAATCGTGCGAGATTACCGAGCACGCTACGCGTGACACCTCTGTTGAGAACGTTCCGAAATCATATCAACTATGCAAACTTTGTACCGATGTACAATTTACAATTTTCTAAGGAGTATGCAAATTTTTAAATACTATATAATTTATTAAGCAAATGACGAGTATAAAAATGAAAGATATCATTCTAAACATTTAGTTTGCATAAACGTTTAAAGTTTTTACTCTAGAGTGTAAGCTGAAAATGACAAACGGTTTCTTTTATTCATGTATACACGTTATAATATATGCAACATTTATATTTATGATCGATGGCTGTTATTACCCAATGTTTAAAACGGTAAAAAGATGAGATGAAAAATATGATCACACTATAACGGTCCCGTGGCCAGAACTCAAACATACAAAAATAAATCGAAAAGCACACGGCCGAATAGGTTAGGTTCAAAATTACCCCTTCAGCCAGAGGAAAATATTATCACTTTAAAATCTAGTGATGAGAAAAAATATATTATACATACTGTTATATTATACGCTTTCGGACTATCCGTCATAAATCAAATTCAATTTAAAGTCCTAGTCAGCCACGTGAACAATAGTCAATACACGATATTAATAAAATACTTGAAAAAAGTACCTACGATATCATATAATTTATATTCGGATTAACATCCGAGTAATTTTGTGTTTATTAAATAAATGTAACCAGCTACAATGCAAAATTATTTATATAATAAGACAATGTATTTCAAAAGATTTGTCCAGTTTGTCGCTAAATAAAATATTAATAATATTTTATGACATATCTACTTAATAAAGTATATCACACAACAACATGTTTCGACTTAATACTTATACACTCTTTTTTACATGATACACCCCTATTCAATATTTTTATGAAGATGACATTCTAATTTCCCCAACTTCTAAATATGAACTATAAAAATCAATATATATATACTACTGATTTTTAGAATTACACGGTAATATAATAATTAATGCAAAAATTAAATTGCACACAAGAATGGTATATGTACTAATGACAGTATACTATATTGACAGTTTAAGTTATATGCTTACATACTTTTACAGAGCACTCGTAAAGTATGTCAACTAGATAATTTGACGATACTTTGAAGTGAATCTTACAAGTTCACAAGAAAAAAGTATTATATTATAAGCCCCCCGGCTACAACCGTCCCATTTAATGGGAAGGTAGTGGAAAGGTTTCTACTCTTACAGACGTATAATATCATTGAACGTTCAGCGATCAGTTGCATTAACAATATTTAAAGAGTTTTTCTCTATATTTCTTAAGTTGTCCAACCCATTTATCACAGCCTGTAAATTCTTTACTGATAAAAGTGACATTATGTGATGTGATGTTTTTCTGTATCCTTTGCTATCAATCTTAGTAGGATGCTGTGAAACGCCCTTTTAAAATAAATAAAGCTAAAAAGTTCTTTTGCCTATTATCCTTTGCTGCCGACGCGTCGATGGTCTTTAGAAATCGCGTTCGTCGATTGACCATCAGATAAGCTATTTTTCTTCTGAGAAATAAAAAGACAACCTTAAAGAAATTGAGCGTCGTATATGTTTACTGTTACTTGCAAATAATCAAAACGTACAGGGTTTGCAAATAAAACTTGCATACACTATACATACTGCAGTAGTTGAAAACTCTAGACGCCAACAATATATATATACATCAATAAAATGACATTGATTTGTCCAACAATCATTCTTTGAGTGAACATGAATTATCATCAATAGCAAACAAAAATAACACATTTTTTTTAAATACAAACCCCATCATGTCATAAAATATTTGACATATTACACTAAGATAATGAAACCCAAGCTTTTTGAACGACTCTTTTTCAATTGTTATAATATATTTGTAACTGTAAGAACAGCGATGCCGAATCCCCTATTCAGGTACTGCAAAAATTTCCCTAACAATATAATAAAAAAAATGTGGGTGATTACAGTTAGGGCATTTCTGGGACCGGAAACCTTGGAACACTTTGTTCTACATTTGTATTTAACTATGGGTCATTAATTATTATTCACGTTACTATAACACTATAGGTAGGTATAATTAATAGCTGTATAATAAATAATAATTATATATATATATATATATACATATATATGTATATTATTTATAATGTAAATTTAGTCTCGTCGGTATTTCGTGAATAATTATTTAGATGGGTACAGATCCGGGTAGTATACATAGCGTTTGGAGACAAGTTTGTTCTACTTTAATTATAAACTTTAGGTAGCACATTTATTTACAAAAAAATTAAAATCTCTCAATCAAATTCGATACGAAATCATGACATACGTTTTTGAAGTGTAATTATTGTATATCACTAATGATCGATTCATAAATAATAAGACATTTTCCAAAAATTAATTGCACAACATTCTCAAAAAAAAAAATCAATCATTAATTTTAAAATAACTGTATGTTGATAAAAATATAAACTTTTACAGTTTGTATAGATTTCAAGTATTAATTACAATTATTAATGATATCATTAATTATACTCGAAAGATTAATACATGAAGGCCATAAATAATTAACTATCCAAAATACATTAGAAACAAAAGTTTGTAAAAGTTTGCCATGTTGAATAATATTATTTGGTCATGAAAAATTATTAAATTTAAGTGCATTTTTAACTATTTCGCCACG